GAAATGGCCATTAAAAATGGCAAAAGTACTCTGGATTCTGCACTAGATCCTCGAAACCCTCTGACACTGTGAGTAGATGAGATCAGCCACGTTCCTTTTCCCCATTTACTTGACATTCCTTCCCTATCTAACACTCCACACCCAAAGACCTTTTATCCTCCAAATTGCTCTTAAGTCCTCTTCGTGCCCAGTGCCCGTAAAAGTCCGATAACTGCCTTGGTGTCTTTGTCAGGTACTTAGACAGTAGTGCAGCAGGCCTAGCGAAGTAACCTAGATAGGGCTGAGGTAACTAGTCATTCCTCTGTCTGGGTTTCCCAATAAGACCTGTCTCTGTGCCCATCTTGATCAGCACTCCTGGCTAGGTGCTGCCCCTGTTTCATCTCATTGAGTTCCAAGATCTACATCAGCATTAACAGTGTCTGGTTCAGCTGGTAAGATACCTTAGAAGGTTGGCACCATGTTTTCTGTATGTTTGTTCGGTCTTGAAAATGCAGAATGTGCTTAAGAAATAATAGGTGGTAGCGCTAACGTGTGCCATAAAGATATCCCAAATGGTCATCAGCCCTGCTGAGAGGCTGTCTCAGGAAGAGTGGTACCTGTTAGCTGCTCGTGGCTGTTTTGAGATCCTCCTGGGACATAGGTATGAACTTTAATCCAAGAAAGGCCTTGTCAGCCACATGTGATGGCTTCCCTTTCTTGGGTTGCATCAGGTGTTGTGAGACACCTTGGAGCACATCTCTACAAGCAATGTGATCAGTCTCTGGAGCCTGGCTCCAGCTACCTCTGCCTTCCCATCATCTAGAAGCAGAAGGGAAAGTCAAAAGCTCTATCATTTTCCTTTATTCTCCCCTGCTCTATCATTGCTTAATTGTATCCTTAAATCTTATTAAAGTTTGGGGTGAGTCATTGCCATGGTGAGGTGGAAACAGAGCTGAGCAAGTTCAAGGGAGGAGGAGTGTCTTCCCATGTGAGTGTGCTGAGCAGGAAAACTCCCACAGCGGAGAGAAACTCCTATCGCTTCATAGATGTGTTGCATCATCTGCTTGCTGCTGCCTCTAATTTAATGTTCTAAATCCCATATCAAAACACCTGTAGTCCAAAGAGAATATAAAGTAGACTTGGAGTATGAAATTCATGCCAATTAGACATGCAGATCTCTCTTAATCGTCTGAGACCTTCTTCCAAGCTCACACAGGATTTATAATTGTGGTTCTGTATTGTCCTCTTGCATTGACTATCCACAGAACCCACTTCCCTCTTCACCACCAGAATAAAGTTGCAGGTTTAATCTAAGGTGGCCTAAATGCATTTCATTTGTGGCTAGAGTAGTTCAAGCTTGTAAAACACATTATGACCTCTGGTGGAAAAAAGCACTGTGGAACTGTAAAGCTATTGTCGCTGGACAGACAATTTCTTTGTAATGAACTGGAAGACCTCCTCTGCTTTATTGTGTAGGCACCACTATAATCCCTTGCACTTGCTGTTCTGGTTTCTGAGGCAAGTCCAAAACAATCTTCTTTCTGAGGCTATGTTTTCCATCACATCCCAGGCTCCTGCTCCTCGTAACATTTGGTGGTTTAATGTGCCTCTTTGGCGTTCTGGCATGGCCAGGAATATGTTGCTGTAGGCGGGGCAGGCACCTTTCAAGGTGGTGGAGGGAGCTCTGGACATACATGTGTATTTCCATCATGGGATTAGGAGCACAGAATCCCAGAGTTGAGGCTGGAAGGGACCTGTGAAGATAATCTCGTCCAACACCCGTGCTCAAAGGATGTACTGCCTCAGATAGTTTTAATAAGGCAGGGCTATAGCTCTTAATATTCCTCTTCCCATCACTCAATCAGTCCCTTTGGTATCCTGTGGCAGGATGGCAGATTGTGCCATTTTGCCTCTTGCACAGGTGAGATTCCGTTCTTGGCTTGCTCTGGACCCTTGTGCACCTACTATGGTGCTGTGGTACGAGTCCTGCTTGGCGATCACGTCGGCACAGAGGTTTCCACCATGAAACCAACATCAAGGTAGTCTGTCTGCACCAGCTTCAGAACACCTTTTTTTTTTTATCAGCTGCCATCCTAATTAGAGCATTTGCTAGGAACAGTACAGTTGCAGAGTCCCTCATTTAGTATTTTATTGCTTTGGTTTTCTTCACCACCTTTAAGGTCATATACTCATAGCCCGTTTCAGAGTTTAATTATTAAAATGAAAATCTATCATCATGTCAGTGGGAGTTGAAGCCCAATCCTGAAAGAAAGGAGGGTGCAAAACTTAGCCCTCTGTTACTGAAATAAAAGAAGCTGCAAGTTGATGGGCTGAACAGGAGTATGGCATCCCTCAGGAAGCCATTTGCCCATGGATCAAGAGGTGAATGGGCATCAATTTGACCACCCAGTAATGTACCTGCTCAGATTAAGTCTTGTATTGAGCCTGTCCGTAAAAGTAAGGAGAGCTTGGATCCCTCTGACTGGGCTTCCCCAGCTGGAGTGTCCAGGTCTCAGTGTTCGCAGGGAGTTAACAGGATATTTTGTTTCTGTGTAGCACAACTGAGTGATGAGGAGAGCGTAAGAAAACGTTGTATTCAGTATTTCCTCCCTTATTCCGTGGTCTTCTTGAGAACATTGATGGATTTATCTTCTGTAAAATTGAGATTATAGTACCCGCAAGTTGTTTTGACTTGCTGAGCTTCACCTGGCTTGGGCAGTCTGGGACCAACCAATAACGTAGCACAAATTGAAGGTGTTTAGAGCTGGTTAAGCTAAGTAAGGTTTCTAGGTTGGGTTGCAAGAGAACCATTTTTTTGTGAAAGGATGGGACACCAAGGGGACTATGTAAGCCACAGAGGGTTTTGCTAGGCAAATGCAAAATTTATTTTTGTTCATCAGATATTGCCTGGATAATGATATCTCATTTATTAATGGAGCAAATGAGGGAAGGACAGCCAAGAAATGCCAGGACACTGTGAAAATGGAGGTAAATCTGCCATCCAAGAGGAAGCTAAGAAGTCCCTGTTGGAATTATGGTAGACAGCAATGCACCAAAGGAAAAGAAAGGCATGGGGAACACTGTGTCAGGCTGGATGTAGTCAGGCACTTAATTCTTCAGAAAATTACAGAATCACAGAATAATTGAGATTGGAAGTGACCTCTGGAGATCATCTAGTCCAAGCTCCCTGCTAAAAGCAGGGTAAACCAGAGCAGGTTCCTCAGGACCGTGTCCTGCTGGGTATTGAATACCTCCAGGGATGGGGAATTCAGAACCTCTCTGGACAATGTGTTCCAGTGCTTGACCACCTCGTGGTAAAAAGTTTTTTTTTTTTCTTATATTTAAATGGAACTTCCTGGATTTCAGTTTGTGCCCTTTGCCTCTTTTCACTGAGCACTGGTCTGAAGAGCCTGGCCCTGTCTTCTTTACCCCCTTCCCTATCAGGTATTGATAGACATTGATAAGATTCACACCCTTCCCCACCCTGAACCTTCTCTGCTCTGGGCTAAACAGTCTGATAGAGAGTACAGAAGTGGGGACTGTTGTAGAAGGTAGGAGGTTGAACTGATGTTACTGGGCAGGTATTGGTAGTCTGAGGTCAACCTGAATGCTGCGTTGAGTAAATGGTGATGTACAAGTAATACGGAATAGCACAGACGAGCTTTCTTGCTTTTTCCTTCCTTCTCTGTGTCTTTTTTCCTTTAGTACCCTTAATTTATGTCTGTTTTCTTGGCATTGTCCCAGATGTCTTCTGGGAATAGTTATCTCTGGGTCTTTTGTCTTTTTGTGTTTGTCATTTAGTGTGATCCTGGCAGTCCCAAAAGCTAAGATATTTATGGTGAGTGAGTTCAGGTTGGTGCTTAGTTGATTCCCGTGACCTGCAGTGATGAGCAGAATCACTTTGGATAAAGCCTTAGATCAAATTTTGAACTGGAGGTGAACTTTTATAGATGTTCAATACAGTTGGAGAACATTGTTTTTCACTTTTAAAAAAAGAAGATTGCATATCCGCAGTTTGGGGGAACACAGTAGCCTAAATAAGGAAGTCCTAGATATTAGGAGAGCAAATGTCTCCGTTCCAGACCCAAGAAAAGTCAGACTGAGTTTGTTTAGACCATAGACAAATGTTCAGGCCTATGGATCTGTATCTGACACAACTGGATCATCTACAGCTTGGCAAATGTATGTCCCCCAAGATGACTTATAAAAGCTCTCTTGTGGATTTTCCCTGTTGGCTAGTTGGTTACAAAAGCATACCTGTTCATATGTAGGAGACATTACATGTATTAACATGTTTGATACCTGAGTGCTAAATCTAACTGAATATATAAATACTACAAAACTTGTTAATTTTGCTTATGACAATTAATATATTGGGGGTTCAGGCAAGAGATAAGGTTGGTTTTGGTTCTGCCTGTAGTTGCTTTAAAGCTAAGCATTTGGTCACTTACCCACCCTTACTAAGCTATTTTAAATTTCTTTTCCACGTTTGTTTTGGAAATGAGAACCCCTCAGAACTAGTTAAATGTGAAAACTTCTATTATTGGTCTTATCGATGTGTCATATCTTCTCCCAACAGAGATTTGTTAAAACTTGCCTTGGATTCAGTTTGTTTGGCTTGTCGAACCGTTTCAAGCACCTAAGGCGCAGAATCAGTTTCCCTGTATTTCTGTAAAATAACAGAAGAAAGAGATCTGGATTCTGCAGAAAACAAAGAAAAAGAAAACCCTGCTGCTCTTTAAGTAGAAAGGAAAGACCAGTTTCTCATGCGTGAGGATTTCATTCCCAAACTCCCTGCACGATGTTATATCTATGTTATATCTACCTACCTCTGCTTTGACTGTAGTAGCCCAAAATTATTGAGTGTGCATGTATAGAAAACAAGTCAATGTGCTAACTTCAGAAGTTATGTGTCTAAACTACTGGAATTTGAAATTTTGCTGGTGCTTCACAAAAGGTTTGATTTGTATGCTTTTCAAAGGCTGAAAGCACTGAGTTTCTTCTCTCTGTTTTCCCTCTAGGTGTGTTACTAGATATCCAGCAGCACTTTGGCGTCAAGGACAGCGGGGCTGGCTTATTGCAGACAGGTAAGAGTATTTGTTTTCTCGCTGGTTTTTGTAACGTTCCTCTTCTCAGAAGGGTGCTTTCAAATTTCTTCAGTTACGGCCCTTGGGCACATTGGCTGTGAAATATACTCTTACTAGGATGATGAGTGAACATGACGGGGGGTTTGGTTTTGATTTGCTGGTGAGCAGAGCAGGGCTCAGAATTATTTGAGTGCAGAATGAACCAGAAGCAAACAAACCTAATGATATTATTTATGACAACTAAATTCAAATAGAGGACGGCTACTTCCCCTAGATCAGACAACTCATGATAAACCAACAGCAGGATCCTGTTGTTCTCACTGCTCTTAACTCTGTAGGTTGGCAATAAATGTGATGTATGATGCCCCTCGTGCTCTACAGAGAATCTGCTGAATGTACAGTAATCGGGAGTACAGCGTGGCATGAAAATGTAAAACTCATCAGGCCAAGTACCTGAGGATGAAAACTGCAGGAAAGGCTAACAATCATTGCATTTGTGGTAACTCACGGATTAACAATATCACTATGATTTTGGTGCTGTTAGCTTCAGACATTTCTCTCCTCCTTGTGTTTGAGGAAGAAGGATTATTGCTATTGTGATGTCCTTTTAGTCTAGCGGACATTTTAATGTTGCAGACGTCTGCAGAGCTGTACAACCCCAGGACAAACGCAGCTTTTCTGGCCTCTGGTCCTGAGGTGGTTTAGAGGAGTGCCTTTGTCAACAGGCTGGATTTGATGACAGTAGCAGGCTCATGTAGTTATGACAGCACATTTGATCTTTATGGAAAGTTGAAAGGACTAGCCAGAGAGCAAATGCAGTATTTTAAGGAGAAGAACAATCTGGTTTGGAAGCTTCCTACACAATTATTAGTTGGAGTCATAGATTTGTGGTGCTGTAGTTGTCTTCTCACTGTCATCACAGCCAACAATAAAGTGCATAAAATCATTCATTCTTTATGATCGCACTAGAGATGAGTGTTACGGAGCTCTGTCATTTGGCCTTTGATTTCAAACTATGTGAACCGCTGCAGTATCTCCTCCTTTTCATTTTTGTGCAAGCCATGGTACAGCAGGGTCCTCATCTGTGGTTACAGCTTCTTGGTAATGTAATTAATAACAGTTTGTATTAGGCCTTTAAAAATGCTGTCCTTGTGGGACGGCAGAGTTCAGCTAAGCTGGTGTGTGCAGCACGTGTCCAGAACAGAAGGCCCGAGCTTTACAAGTATTACTGATTATAAGTGGCATCAATCAGTAGTGCCCAAAGTGGCACTGGTTGTCTGTCAGGCTCTTTTCTACAGCGATTATTTGTATTTATTTATTGTACTCAGAGGAACAGGTCCTCGATGTATCATTAGACACGAAGTGCCTTCAAGAAAATATTCTGGTGGAAAATGACAGTTGCCAAAGCATGTATTTAATCTTCATTCCCCTCAGTGGATGAAATCCTTCTGCAGATGATTTACTGATGGCAAGTAAGAGCTAAGCTCCAACAGGGCATTTCATTTGTTAATTGCAAGAAATGTTATTTATTTCTCTAGCAAACACACAGGGCATCAGAAAACAGCCTCACTGAGATACTGCAAGATTGCTGCTGAGTGTATCAAGAGTTTTTTAACTGATAACTCTTGCTTTAAGAAAAGCAACATTTTCTCTTTTTTTTTTTCTTTTCTGAGCTGAAAACTGAGGGCTTGACTTTGCTTGTGCAATATAGATAATGATCTATTAATCACAGTGCCATCACAGAAGAGTGTTCACAAAATAAAACACTATTTCACCTAAGTAGGGGTAGGGGCATGTAACTGAAAACTTCTTGAATGTATTACTTCAGCTTAACAAGTTTCTGTGTTGGCAGCTGGCCCATGGCCCATGTACCCTTAACCCTGGTGAAATAAAAGATGCTGCCCTAAACCACAGTAAATGCTATTTTTAATCTTTTGTCTGTTCTCTAAGTCTGACCTCTCTAGATGTGCAAATTGGGGGAAATGGATGAGGAGTGTAAAAACATTTGACCAAGGCTGCAGATGAAGCCTGTAGTAGAGCTGGGACCAGGACTCATGTCTCCCAGACCTCTGCCTTAACCTTGAACAGTTCCTTTGCCAGCAGACACAGAAATACCATTTTATTCCCAAGAGATGGTCCTGCTAACTAATTGAGTGATGTGAGACAAAAGACTGCTCATCCTGAGTATGTCCTCTGAATAAAGAGTGGATTAGTCCTCAGGTTGTTAATCCTGCATCTAAATGAGTCCTAAATTAATTTACAATGTTAATGAGGGGGAGTGAAATGTAGTATTCACTGGCAGTTCATATCACTCATCAAACAGGCTTTAAAAAATAAAATTAAAAAAAAAAAAGCCTTTTAACTGAGAAACAAGGTAGCACACAGTTTTTGGAAGAAACGGTACTGAAAACTCAAACAGCAAGGGGAAAAGAAATCCACCAAAGGCAATGTATGACCCTGTATTCATACCATAACCCATTCTTTGCAGGCACAGCCGATCTCATAGCACTCTCACTCCAAACATTCAAAAACCAATTTATACACTCGCAGCTTCTGCTGCTCTCTGGAAAGCAAAGGTGACTGATTTCTTAGGAATTGCAAAGACAGAATTTGAATTTTTGTCACCTTTTATATTAATCCCAAGATACAAGCTGCTCTTTGCCTAAGAGATATAATGAAAACTGGTTAGAGGGGCACTGTAACTCCCTGTACAGAAAAATCACAGGGATGCTCCAGCCTCATCCATAATGGAAAGGAGCAGAACATGGTAGTCTCTGCAGCAAGGATCCTGTGACAGCAAAGGACGCGCTGACAGATGGATCACAATTGCTGCTTGCTCAGTAGAGCAACAGGCATATAACTATGTTGATTCCAGGGCCTCAGTTATCTCTTTGTGATGCTATAATTTTGTGCTGATCTTCCTTTTTAAAGCACTACATACACAGTTATATAAATATCAGTTAAATTCACTTAACTCTCCTACCAGTCTGTATTCAAGCTTTCTTGTGCTTTTCATTTCTTACTGATTGCCTTTCCCAGCTGGAGAAAGGATAATCCTGGCTGATCTCAAAAGATGATAGAGCATCTCCTGGCCTACTTGAGCTGTAAGGCTGTAGTCAGTCAATACATTTATAAGCCAAACCATACAAAAAGCCTTTCCCATGTGTCCAGCTAGGTAGGAGCAGCAATTTGGACTCACCAAAACTAGAGGCCTCTAAAAACACAAAGACTGAGAAGATGGACAACTGGATTTGTAGAGCTGCTTCAAAATAATGTTACCCTTCCATATATACTTAGACCACAGGAGTAGTGCCCCAGTGCTGTACTCTGGTTTTCACTGGATTTTTTTTTTTTCCCCCTTCTTTCTTCAATTTTTGTGCTTTAGTGCTCTGTCTGCTTTCCTTGCCCTTGCATTTATTTTTGCTTTTGTGTCTCTTGCCAGTGTCTATTTAGCACACCAGAGCTCTAGTAATAATAGTACCTGGCTCTCAATACAGTTTGTCTTCTGTAGATCTCAGGATGTTTTATATAGGGAGGGATAATGAGGCTCGCCCTTTGCTACAGATGGGGAAACCAAGAAAGCCAGATGGGAGAAATGACCTGCCCAAAGTCACACGGCGGCTCTGAGGCAGAGCCAGAATGAGGACTGCGGTCCAGTTCCTGAACACAGGCATTCGACTAGGTTAATGCTTAGACCCAGAGATTCGGTCCTTGCTAATGGGCACCTTAATCTTCTAGCCTGGGCAGCTCGAACTCGGGGAAGGCACCTAAACCAGTGGGGACTTCTGCAAGCAGAAATGGTGAGGCATTAAATGGAGGGTATGTCAAGGATTCTGTTGAAATGCAGAGAGGAAAAGTGTTTGTCTTCGGAAAGAGCATAGGGATGTCATCAGAGGAAACTCTGGTAACCGAAAGTTCATACCGTAAGGTCAGAAGCAAAGAAATACAAGGAAGCGAGAGATCTGGAAGGACTCATTAAAGGTGAATAATCATAGATAACTGGGGCCCTGAAAGAACTTCTCACGTGGAGAGAGATGGGCGTTCTCCCAACTGCCTTTCAGCCTCTGGTTTCCCAGGAAGCCTAGCAATGCCAGGTACTGTCTGAAGTCTTCTTGTGGACCCACTTTTCCAGTAAGGGTCAATTCCAGCTAAAAACTCTGTTCATTTGAAATGTGAAACCTTTACCTACCCGAGTTCCCCTGCCTCTTGAGCCGACTGAGTGCAACCTTGCACTAGATTGCAACCTTGCAAATACGTTAGCAGCTCTGGTGTGCTGTGATTGTACCAACCGAGCTATAAGCATGTGCCGTGAGTAGGGGACTTGAAATAGCAGAGTGCAGTGATGGGATAAATCAGATTTGCTAAATTGAAGGTTTTTCTTTCAACTACCATTGACTTCCATCTTCTTGTCATTGGCTTATGATGACAGCGTAAACTACTTTAGCATTTTTATTTATTCCACACAGAGACCACCTCCTGTGGATGCTGCATGTTTCTTTTCTACCATCTGCTTCTACCTGAATAGATTCTGTCTTTCTCCTCATCTGTGCTATGCATAACTGAATCAGATCTTCATCTTTCACTTCCTACTGCACCTGCTTAACTTTTCTTCTTGCCTGAACAGAGGAACTCATATTCTGGACACTTTCCTGTTTTCTGTTTAAAATTCATGGGTTTTCCTTTTGAGTGAATGACTTCTTACACCAGAGCACCTCCCAAGGTCCTGGTATCTCGGGTGTTCAATCCAGAAGGCGAGACTGAATGCTTTGTAGTTGCTGCAAATGGTCTGGACCACCATATGTCCTACCCGGGGCAGGTCATGCCGTTGCCATCTTCCCTTCCCCCAGCCATGCTAAGCGTTCTTAAATCCAGATTACTTCTCTGGCAATCTGGGGCTCTGAATGCCAGGACAAGGTGGGGCTCTCTTTCTGCCAGGAGGAGATTCTCAAAGTTGTATCAACAACGAGCAAACCTTTTTTCCCCATTTCCCCTTCCATACC